GTACTTTAGGGTGCAATCCATTTCAAATTCCCATAAACCTCCAAATTTGGAAGCTTGCAGGAATCCTATGCAAAGCAGAAGTGGCACAGATGATCTTTACTTCTCTCTTTCTCAAATACAGTGTTAGGAGGCAGTCCACCAGGGCTGAAGCCTTGTATAGGTGGGGTAGAAGGCATGCTTTGGAAGCCTTCCTCTCTCCCCTTTCACTTTCTGTTTCTCTATGGTGGTGACGATTTTCTGCAGTAGGCCACAAAACTCCAAAAGTTCCCATATTCATAATTACAAACTGGTTGTCTTCAACTCAAATTTTTAAATTAAATGTTTTATGAAGTTCATTCATAAGTATGGATGTTCATAATTTGGACATTTGTCACCTGGGTCCTGCCTGTATTTACTTTGTAGCATCACTCTACAAATGATACAAGGTTGCAAATTGGGCAGAATGTGACAACAACAATGCCAAATTGGCATTTCTAAAATTCAAGCTAAATCACCAGAATCCATTCTGCTATTACTTAACTCACAACTAATTTAGGCATAGGCACTACTTTGGCATATAAGAAATTCATATCCAAAGGTTATGTTCATGGTTTTCTAAGCACAAAGTATTCATACACATAATTTCAATTTAAAGCACATGTTTTATATATTTATATTTTTCTATGTTTTTAATTTGTTTTATTGTGTTTTAAAATTTTGTGAGATGTTCCCAGGAATTTCATTGAAGGACAGATTAAAAAATCTGCATAATAAAATGCAATCCTATGGGCAGAAAAACATCATACAACTCCCAGCCAGCCGTGATGTTGCAGGACATTTTTTTCTGTCTAAAAACACATAAGAAGTTTCTAATAATTTCTTATCTTATGCTTATACATGCTTCTAATAAAAAGTTGTTCTTGTATATGCAGATACTTAATTTTATTAAAAATCAATTGTTCAATGAACTATTTTAGGAATTATCTCATATCACACAAAAGTAATCGTAAGAAATTTTGGCAATAAACCACAAGAAAGCTCCTTTAATGTTTATCCAACTTCCTTTTTGCAACTTAATACATCCCACAGAAATTAATATTGCTCTCATTCTCTTTGAGGCAATATTGCTTATGAGGAACAAAGCTAGGATAGATTGCAAGATCTTTCAAAACACAAAAAATTCCTAATGATATGTCCTTTGACTTGGCCATTTTACCACTATATTTTTCAAAAAGCCCTCTAAGTTAGCAGGGGCTTTAGTTAGAAAACATTAACAACTCTTTTCCCTGAAGTAATTAGAAACTTGATGTCCATGTATGTCTCCAGTCTAAGGATATGGTAGAAAAAGTAGAGCTGAAGACACTGGTTAGATCAGGAATCATATACACATTGATAGCAAAGAAACAAAAGGAAATACAAAAGAATTGGGATCTAAGATGTTCAGCACCTGGAAGCTCAACTTAAAGACTGGATAAAAAGGGACAAATGTGAGATTCCATGAAAAAGGAAGAATAGTGTTTGTAAGGTCACAAATGTGAGAGTAACTTTTGAAAAGGTATAACCATGTGTAAGTGAGTAAGACAAAATGTACAAAAAATACAGCTCTTGGATACATGGGAAGAAAAATCATTTTTGAAAAACATCTTTCCAAACTTGCAGATTAACATGAGCCAATGATGCAAGACCTTTTGTATACCACAGAGAGAGGAATGTCACATGTGTTTGACACTCTCTGCTTTGATACCAAGTTCCTGACAGGCTTGCTGTCTTTATTTCTGTCTCTCTGTTTTAATCTCAGCTCAGTGCTCCACCTCATTGCTGCCACATTCTCTTCCAATGCGTGCATATATCTTGCTTCAGATTATAAATGTAACTTAAAAACTGATAAAACCTGTTGCCCTGTAGTTCCTCGTGCTACCTCCCTTGCTGTTCAAGAGAGTCTCCCAACATTTTGGAGTACATTTTTAGGATGCAGAGGCCACATAAGCAGGAACTGATGAAAACTGTCTCTCCACCCTCTTCTACTAATGGGAACACTCCATCAACAAAATTCTATTCACAGGCAGTGGAGATACATCCCCATGTATATCAAGCCTATATTGTCTGCTACACTTCAAGTTTTAATACCATTTACTTAAAATCATGTGTGCTGGCTGCATTTTTATCAGTAATTGGTAATTGTGCACAAAAAGCATGCATTTCTGAATCACAGCTATAGATGTATAAGCAATTACAATGCCTGGGTCATAGCTTTGTGCCTTTTAGAAAGAATGCAGCTATCAAGAACATTTCACACTTCAATCAAAAGTGCATTTAGCACTGCTTGCTTTCAACAGCACTGCATAAAAATAGAAGAGTACAGAAAGTTGAAAAGTGCATGGTCATTAATATGGTGTTAAGACTCTTACGCTATGTATATAACATTTCTATTCTATTCTATTTCTATTCTAAATCTAGTTGAAACAGGCACAGAATAAAGTAGTAATATATTAAGTCTAATATGCAGAAACAGGCTAGCAAACTCCTGAAGCCATGGACACTTATATTCGTATAAAACACACATACAAAATGTACCATTTGTGTTCCTAAGAAACACTATTACTCTCTTGTTGCTTTTTGTGGCTCCACACTTAATTGCTAAATCATTTTTGCTGTAAGAATACTGGTGCTGTGTCCTAATGTTTATGACCATGTATCTCCCAACTTTCTATACTTTCCTTTTCCATTTTAGTTCAGAGTTGTTTAAAGGGAAAAGTGCTAAAGGCATACTCTCCAACTAACTCATCATTTGCATTTTACATGACTGCTGAAGAAAACACTGATCTGCTTTGTAAAATACATAAGGTTATTTTTATTACTGTATGAAATTTAATAACAATAATAGCTTCCGTATAGCCTGAAGTGCCTAATCGTGGAAGCTAAGCAGAATGGACCTGGTTGAAATCTGGATGGATGCCTTAACATGTTGTGAACCGCCCAGAGAGCTTTGGTTATGGATGGTATAGAAATGTAATGTAATAATGCCTATGGAATGATTTTCACCAAAAAAGTTTTTTGAATTTTGAAATCATAACTATCAATGTATGTATTTCAGTGAGCTTACTTACATAGTTGAAAATAGAAATTCAATATCATTTTCTCCTAAACTAATACAACATACCAAATCATCTAGATAAGTTTAATGTTGCTATACTGTGATTCAGAGTGACAGTGCTTAAAATTAATTCCCACACAATTTAACTCTAAATTGTGATGAGGCAATAGTTAATTTTAGCCTGTCGTTTTAAAAAGCCATGAACTTTTCTACATTATACAAACAAAAAGCCTAAAAAAGAACTGTCTTCCATAATAAACAAATCAAAATATATAAAAGAAAGACCTGATTCAGATCTATATCTGGTCCAAAAAACCAAACATGCTTTGCTGGTAATACTGTGTGTCTGTTCATTCTCACCTTTCCTTTCTCCCTCCCTGGTATGCCAAGTTTAAGGCTTCTTAGTGTGTTAAACTACACTTTGCTATGACATCCAAACTGAAAACTGTCCTGAAAAAATCAAGATTGCAAACAGTTTAGCAAACCAGGAAGTCATGAACTAAGCCACATATGTGAAGGAGAAAGAAAGTGGAGGAGGATGCAAGCATTTATACGGTTCACTCCTGATTCAACAAACTATGTTCATGTAAGAAGCAGGCATTCCATATGTGCAAGATCAGAGGTAACCACTGAGATGTGCAGTGCTGTCAAGTTGTCTCCAGCTTATGGCAACCCTATGAATGAATGCCCTCCAATATGTCCTGTTTTTGACAGCCCTGCTCAGTTCTTGTAAGCTCAAGGCCATGACTTCTTTATCCAACTCATAGTTGGTCTCCTGCTTCTTTTTCTGCCTTCAACTTTCCCTATGGAACTTACTCCCTGGTAAAAGAGGGTATATTTCAGCATCAGCTTCCCCTCCACGATTATTTCATGCTTTAGTATTTGGTCTTTTAGCATTACTAAACAAGAAGCAAAGACAAACAAATAGAAAAATGAGCATACTTAACTGTGAATAGTGCTTCTGTTTGGCATAGTCAGTCCCAAACTACACAGAGATGCACAGAGCTCCTCTTCAATATATACTCTGGCTACTGTACTTACAGAGGTAGACTTCTCACTCTGACCTTCCATTCCAGCCCCATGAAAATATTAAATGAAGACTCAGAGGATCCTGCTGAATGTCTTAAGGCCAGATTCCATTCTGGAGAATCTTTCAGACATAACATTCTAGTGCTGGATAAAGCCAAAAGGTGTACACACCTGTAGAAATCCATCCTGTCCAAATCTCATTGTTATTAGTTTATGGTAGGAAGCATATCTACTTGGAATTAACATGAACAGTGTGTCTCCTTACAAGCATATAGGACAAGCAAGCCTCTGAAGGTCATCTCAGAAGTAACCAGGATTTAATTACTCAGTGGAACTTTCAATTAACATCCCCCATAACAAACCTATGTATATTTACTCTTGAAACACTATAAGCATCGTATCTGCTCACAAGCAATCAGGGCAAATTTCAGCATGCTTAATCAGAAGTAAGCAGGTTAAGCTTCTGCAAGTCAAGGTTCAGAAGGAAGAAGGACTGAACCACTCAGTTATCTCCCCTAAGTCCTGATCAGGGATGTGTTTTCCCCTGCTAAATTGAAAAAGGAAACTTTTTCAGTGCTAAAGCTAGGAAAAGCACTTGCCTTCCACCAACCACTGATCAGAGATGAGAACATGGCAAAGGCTTGCCTGGACAAGAAACTGTGGGTGAGAAAATTTCATGGACCTGATAGCTCTTCAGTGTGTAAAATATGGCTGTTGCCTAGGGCTATACATGCTGTTGAGGTGCAAACACATCCAATTAGATATTGAGGGATGGGGACCTGATGGTTGGTTCTAAGTAATGAATGAAATAACTTCAGAGACTAACAAGCAGACTATTAAGTTTATCAAATCAACATAATCAAAATGAAATGTGAAGGTTACAACTTCATGAAAATACCTGAAGTTCCAAAGGCTACATCCCATGGTGAACTAATAGGCTGTTCTTCTCCTTTGGCGCCTCCTTCCTTATCCATGCCTTGCTTTCCAACTCCTGCAACAGTGCTCACAATCTCTAAGTCCAGGTCAATCTAGGATTAAATCATGATTTTTATTTAATTCATAATCACAAACAGTAGTGATATTGTTGTGTAAAATATCTTGTTAAAATTTGTTAACAATATCCATTTTGTTAAGATCTCATATATGATTGGGCAGGCAAAGAAATCTGCTTTATTGCATTTCTCTACTTTAAGTCTTCACATGAGAAAAGGGGAAAAAAGCCAGCTGCCCATGGAGTAATTTGTATATTTAATTCTTGAATGACTTCACTTTGAAATATTTTGGTCTGCACGATCAAGGGAATAGTTACTGGCTCAAACAGAAATATAACAGACAAAGCAATGGATCCCTTTCAAACCTAACAGTGGGCTTTATTATTTAGAGGAGCATTATGGAACTGAATAAATATTTCAGCATTGAATAAAAATTCAAATTTATTCAGCATTCACATGCCTAAGTTATAACCAATGGGAAACATTAAAGATACCACACAGTAACTTAAACTCTGGGTTTAAAATGTAAATACTGAAATTCTAATTTCAGTCTCTTGAATAAGACAAGGTATAAGAGATTTGAGTAATGAGAGACTTGGTCACAATTTCTCATCCTTCAATTAGGTAGAAAGCTTTGGTTTGGACACTTCTGGTTCTTGTCTTGTAACACACTCAAGGTGATATGAGTCCACTTCAAGGTGCTAGATATATTGTGCCATACATATGCCGTAACTAGGATTCAAATGAGCTGGATTATATTATCAGTTGCATTTTTGCTCCCAGTATCATGCTTTACTGATTAATTATCAGTGAAATCAGCTGATTTGTCCTGGCAATGAGCATAAATTGAATTAAGACTTGCTTATATTCCTAAATATTTCCCAGGGGGAAGAAAGACAAAACACATGATTCTGTAGAGCCAAAATATCATTAACATTTAAATAGAAAGAAGAACTTAGGGCACAGAACATTGGTGCATTCCTTCTTTTTTATAAGAACATGCAAATGTTCTACGCAATCACTTGCCTTAAAAGAATATACAAAGAAGAACATTTCAGATACTTAGAAAATACATTTATAAATGTCAGTCAAAATTCTACCTTCATTTACAGTGTATAGTCCTTGAATAATTGCATCATTTGGTATCCATGAACTAGGGAGAAGAATGTAGTCATTATCTTCTTTTTTAATAGTAAAGTTTACCTTCCTAATCAAATGGTTTTCTGTATCTGCTACATAAATGATATTGTTCTTTATGGCCACTCCTTGTGGTGAACTGAATGATGCTTCTGAAAATGTTCCATCTTTTCTTCCACTGTTTGGTCCTTAACAGAACATACAAAACCACAAATCAGCAGAACAGTAATTTGAAAAACATCAATAGACATATATTTGATTCCAGGTTAGGCAATAATCCTTCATCCATTTCTAAAAACTTAAATAGAGGTCTGTAGTTTTTAAATCTTAGAAATCAGCATATAGATAAATTTAGAATTTATCAATTCTCATTATTCAACACATTGGTCATTTCCCTTCTTCAATTAAAATGCTAAATGTATTTCAAAGAATGTATTAATTTTTAAATGGCACATGTGGCCTTGGAGTATAATTTATACATTTCCTGAATACTTATATTTTAGCAGCAATTCCAGCACAACAAACCAGTAGCAATTACACTGATTTTCCTTATAACAAAGTCTCATGCTGCAGTATGCATAACGTAATAATAATATTGATTTCAAAATTGTAAGAGCTTGAAAAGATAATTAAAAGGATCTATGCAGTTAGGTACATGTCCACAGTAAGTAATAGTTCATTCTGCTTACTTACAAGCCACTTCGTAGATCTACTGTTTAAGCCTCAGGTAAGAGGGCTGAAACTTTTGTTTTCTTTTTCTTTTTGTGAGAACATATGCTTCTTGTTCTTATCTGCAATAAAGCACTTCTGTACCTTACAGTCTTTGCGTATAAGGAAGCAATTGCAAAGATACACATGGAATGTATCCATATATTATAAGAAGTCAACTTTCCAAACTCTGGTCATTATGCTTATTTGCACCCCACCCCTCATGCATGGTCTAAAACCTTCAAAAACTTAAAAACTGAGTTGCATTTCTCTGAATATCAAAGTAAAATCCAATTTCTTGCAAAACCTTTTAACGGCTCTTATGTTCAACCTGTTTCATTAAAGTCCCATCAAAAGTTGGCCAAATGTAAAAGCATTATCAGTATTTTTACAGAAGAAAGACTCCCTTTCCCCGAAGATACCATCTTAACATTTCCATTTTTAGACAGTTATAAGTAGCACCCAGTTTCAGCCCACTGCCATAGCAGTCAATAACTGTTAGTAATATACAAAAGGTATCTCTGAAGGTGGGAGTGATCTAGCTTAACAGTGTTATAAACTGGAGAAAAGGATTAATATTACTGGAGGAGCATCTCTTATGAAGTGGATTAACTAACACTGAAAGTGTTAGATAACTTTATTCATTGGTTTTAATATTGTTTACTGGTCCATGAACAAGCTGAAATAAGGAAGGGTTCATAGAGATGAGATTTTTTTGAGAAATGAATGAAGTTCAGAAGAAAAGTGTCCCTCAGAGTATATGCTGAACCACTACCAAGTGTGAATCTAATTGTAATAAAGGTATCTCAACACTAAAGATACCAGATTTAAATAATAGGTGAGTTGTTTGTAGTGTCTTTCTTTCCATGACCAGCCTAATATTCTCTGGGCAACATGGAGACACAATTAACAGCCAATTATTCACCTGTTTGCAGGACATCATATACTTAACAAGATAGCTAAAGTAGCATTCTGTAGGCTTGGAAATTAATTTTCAATGCAATTTAATGTTTTCTAGCAGTTGTACAAGCAACACAGGACTTGAGATCATCCATGAAAATTTTAAAGCTAAAAGACAAAATTTTAATAAATTTAGGTTATCCTTACCTCCAACAATGTGCAGAATTTGACCATTTTTTCTGACAACCAAAATCCTATGATGTCCAGTATCTGCTATTACCAATCGGTTTCCAGAGCTGTCCAGGGCAATTTTGCCAGGAAACAGCAAAGATGAAGGTGACAAAGAATCTCTATAGAGCTGTGTTTTAATTTTATTAGCATTTATTTGACCTTGCTCCTTGTAATACTTCAGGGCTATGGATGCAAATAGAAATAATTTGTCCTTGTGTCCTTCACCAACCAGAGTGAAGAGCATATTCCCACGGGGTCCAACAATGACCAAGGTTGGCCAGCAGGTTATTTCAAGCTCATGCCAGAGGGTTGCATCAGCATCATTTACCACGGGATGAGTGATGTTGTATCTTAGAACAGCACTTTTGATGTTATTCAGAACCTTTTCATTTGGAAATTTTGCTGAGTGCACACCAACAACAAGAAGTCCATCTGAAAGTACATATTAAAAAATGACACACATAATAACAGCTGTTATTATAGAATAGATAATACAACAAAATTACGCAAAGCGTGTGGATAATGCTAGCTCCAAAGTAAATCCTCTGATCTGGACATGTTAGTTTTCTGCCATATGGTAGAATAGTTCATAGGCCCAACTTCCAGTAATATGCATCTAGAAGCAAGCTGGATTATACTAATTACATTCACTGATTTACTACATGCAAAATATATACTATTTACTACAGTTTTAAGTCAGGATGTGAAATTAAAACCTCCTCCTCCTTCAATCTCTGTCATCTCAGCTATCCATTTCCTGAACTGGCTGAATTTTTGCAGTCCCTGACCTTACATATGTCACAACCAACCATCCTATGAAAGCAAGATGTTTTCCTAGCATTCCATACAGCTCCTTCCGACACCTTCCTGAACTACTGCCTACTGTGATCCATGCCTTCAGCGTCCCTACTTTTCCATCCGCTCTCCTACCAACAATACTTTGACCATCATGCTCATAGGCAGAGTGCTTAATTTCGAGCTGTTAGAACTTGAACCTTCAGTTAATTCATTCTCTAGCTTACTCCCAAATTAAGAATTATGTTAAAGTTACTCAGTCATGAGGGAAGGGCACTTAGCACATGATTACAGGTAAGTTATTGTGCAGAGAAGTAACAGTACAAACAGACTTTAGAACAGTGCCATGGAAGGTCCTCACTGAAATTAATCATTTAATGTGCCCCCTTTCTCTTCAAACTTCTACTTTCAATGAACCAAATTTACTAATTGTCAGCACTCCACAGCATCACCAATAAGGCTCCAAACAAATATCAAAGGAATAATCCTAGGTATGTTGGCTGGGACATGACAGGAGTTGTAGGGATTTTCTGTCTAAACATGCATAGGATTATGCCCTAAGACTTCAATCCTATGGAAGTTTAGACAGGAAGAATAAATAAATCCTACAACTAACTCCCAGTATTCTCCACCCTAAGGTAACAATGTATGTATTGATCTGGGAGTAAAGATCTACCAAATTCAGCCAGTCTTACTTCTAAACAGATATGAATGGAATTACATCGTAAGCATCAGAGAGCCAAATCCAGTATAAAGAATTGTAAATTATCTTAACAACAGAAATACTATAGTAACTTTGAACAAAAGTACTCAGCAATGTAAATCACATCTTAAAATCAATTTAGTAAATAATGATATAAAGTATTAAATAACTTACAGCCTACTCTCTTCCCTGTAAACAACTCAAATGCATCAACAGTTCAACAAATGTGCCCTTGCAAAAGGGGGATGGGAGAAAATGAGAGAGAGAGTAGTTTTATTTCAACTTTTTAATGACATCTATTTTCTCTAATGTCATATCACCCTTCTAGTACCTCAAGCATAAATGTTCACAGGAATCTTCCCTACCCTTCTGTTAGGCAGTGTTGACAGAACATTACCATAAATAAAATTCCACCATTCTGCTCTGTTAACAGGCAGAAACCTAGATCCAAGTGATTGCAGAAGGTGATAACTATCTGATTTCAAGGGCTCTTCCCACACACAAAATATTTTAAAATAGGAAAAGCAAGACCATTTCTTTAACTGCATAACATTTAATTAAGGCAGTTTTATCTTTTATTAATTTTGAACTCAACTTGCATCTCCTTTTGCTTTGGACAAGACAACACTATTGAGAACAGGTGGAATAAAATGGCACAATATTTGAATCTGTCATCCAACTTGCCATAAGAGTTCACTAGTAATGAGGGCTTTGGAGAGAATTTGTGCATAATATAATCTTCACCGAGCTTACACCCTGCTGTCATAGTCTAAAGACATGCACCATGGCAGATGCTTTAACAGACATTCTAAAAGTCTTTATTCCTTCTCCTTTCCCAGTCTTCAGGAATTTACATTGGGTTCAAAATTAGTGGTGCAACTAGACTACTCTAATCTCCTTTATCAAAACACTTATTTGCTTCCTTGTTATTAAGTGAAAGAAAATAGCAATCCTGTGTACACTGTAGTCAGTGTGACTTAGTTCTGCATACACAGGATCTGAATGCAAGGAAGAAAAGTATCAGGAAATGTGTCCTTAGAAGCAGCTGAAGAAATAGGAATGAGACCTTAAACAATGTCTATGTAGAACTGTAATCATTAACTTCAAACATCAGGGCTGATCTTACTGTAAGAGGGCGCCACTTTAGCCAGTTTATTATTTGTTTGCATGCTTACTAACAAAAAGGGGGATTTTGGCTTCCTTTAACAAGGTAACTTGACTTGCCTTGAGAAGACTCTTACTGGGGTGGGGAATGGACCAGTGTATGACAGAAAAGGTATCAATTTCTGAAAACACTAAGAGGTTCGGTCAGCTTCCATTTCAGAGATATGTAGGTACCACATGATCTGATCTATCTTATCTCTTCACCACATACTACAGTAGTCAAAGCATTAAGACACACAAGCACCATGGTATTTTAACTCTGGTCCCATCTCCAAATAGGATGTATTTACACAACAATTTGTTTAGGATAATAGCCTTGGTAATTTAAGAAAAAATAAATTAGATGGAAGGATGCTTACAGCAGCAACAGAACTTGGAATGGTTGTAATCTCAAAAGTAAAATTCTAGCACAAATGAATATACTCGGATTCAAATCCGTACACAAAACAGCAGCAAACTGGCCATCTCCCAAAGTATTTCTATCAAGAAGCACTTCCTCATACAGCAATCCAACAGGCCATTTCTAGACTGTTGATGTGAAATGAATGTGCATTAGTGCTTAAAATAACCTTGCAAATGCCATTCTCAATGCAGAAATAGCACTTGCCATGATAACAGCAAGAACATATCTGATAAACATGCTGGTTGGTATTAATTCCAATGGAAATTAATATTTGTTCCAAGATGCATCTACAAAATTCCAGATGTGCATGTGTTAATGGTAGAATAAGTGATCTTGACAATATCATGCTCTTTGTGCTTAAGCAACTGCTTTTAGACAACATAATGATGAGAGCTTTGATATGACTGCAGCGTAAGAGTATAAAATGTGCATAAGAACAGCAAGAGATTTTCTGTTGGAACACTAAGCCTAAAATAGATTTCTCAACAAAACGAATACCTTTGCTTTCCTCAATCCAGGGATTTCTACTCAGAGGAGCTATTCACACAGCATGACAACCTGCCAGGCATTATTTAACTCATGTTGAAGCTTTAACACAGACACAACATATACAAACACCATTATGAATATGCAATCCCTGGTTGAGGATTGTCATATAATACTAACCCTGCAAGTGTCGTTTATGCGAGGAGCATTTAGTTTCTCACAACCCATGCTCACACAGCACAACTCCCAAGCTGAGGCCAAATTACAATGAGTGCATTGCCATGCACATGGTAGGCATGTCATGAGCGGACCTGGCTGGAGCTGGGGGTCAGACTAGATAGCCCAGGATGCCCTTCTGACTTGCTCTTCATTGAGACACTGGGCCAGTTGCTTCAGCCACATGACAGGTTTATTGTGAAAAGAACATGGGGTGGAACTATGAGCTCCTTGGGATAATGCTAGCATAAAAATATATAATGAAATAAATAATTCCTTCCTGTTTTTAAGTTAACGTTATTGTTCCACAATAACAGCCATATAATTTGTGGGGCTTGTTTTGTAATTGGGTTAAGTATGAGACTTGCTGATACCATCTTTGTTTTTCTTGTAAGATTACTCTTTAAAAATACTTTACCATTATTTGACAGCACTTGACTCCTAAACTGACCAAATCTTTTTTGGACCGATCATATGCCTAATCCTATGTTAATATGCATTTATTTTTATAAAAAAGAAAAAATATAGTCTTAAGCATTAAAAATCATGTATGAGGATATGAATGCATAAACAGGGGGAGAAGGGCAAAGTGCCTCAAGTGTAGGATTAACAAATTTGATTTTCCCCAATCCAGGCATATTAAAATGCATATTATTGTACCATTATCAGTCAACTCTTCTGCATTTGGTCCTAGAAACTACATCAAAATGTCACTGGGAAAGAATCAGAAAAATATGCTTTCACCTAACCAACTGCTCATGCTAGGATAGTTTTGGTTTTTTCTTAGAAAACAGCAGTAGAAAAACTTATCAGGAGAGCTGTAACAAGCTACCGGGTTTTTATATACAAAACAGCAAACTCTGGCTTAATGCACATGTACTATTTAGGATATTACACTGTGTTCAAACCATGCTTTATGATCTGGGTTAGTGACCTGATTCACTTTACTGAATTGTCAACCAACATTTAAGCCAGAGTTATTGGGTTAGATGTAATGGCAAACTCTGGCTTAATACAGGCCAGTTCATCATGCTGATGTGGCAGGGGCTGGGGGGAAAGCTTGGCCCTTACAGTCATTACCAATTTAATAAAACATGGCACCCCCACCTTCCAATTCTCTCTATAGCATTTTTTGGTGGGTAAAGTGCTTTCAGACTGTTGGAATTCCACTTCAGCCAGTTCAGTTCCATGTGCCTAAATCTGGATGCAACCTGTGTGTCATTTCCTATTTTCATACAGTATTTATTGAGAGAAAAGAATTACAAAGTGAAGATGAGAAAATAGAAGATTACCAAGAAAGAAGGAATAATATGATCTTTCTTTAGAGCAACTGCAGCACAAGCTTTTACATTTTACTCAGAAATAAGATTCATTGACTTCATTGGAATTGTTACTTCAGTCAGTATGCGGCTGACATTTAGAACTAGAAATAATACAGTCCTATTATTATAATACAGGAAGGTTTGCCTAGACTTCAGGATAATTAACTAATGACAGTTTTTGTTTTAATCTCTTTTAACAGGAGTAATAAGAATATTTTGGAATTTCATTTGTGGACTAAAATTGTCATCATCAAAAATCCTCAAGATGCCATCACATCAAGCCTCAGGGTTTATATATCACAGATATGCTGTCTAAAACTTTAAGCTTTAAAACTTGAAATAAAATATATTTTACCCTAAAATTCATGTACATAAGATAGTACTTGTATTACAAATAATCATTTGAGTTACTGGAGATTTTAGTCTTTTACTATTTTTCCTGAATGCATAACTAATCAGTCATTCTAGAAATAAGTACATAGTGTCAATGTTTTTAAGAGCAAAAATTCAGAAGTGTTCAGCCAAATATTTAATGATAAACTATGCAACTTAGAAACTCCATCTGTAACAACTCTAAAAAAATTTATTCTGAACAAATGAATGACTAGTTGATACCTGTAGTAGAGTACTTCTGTTCTAACTCATGGAGATCAGGCAGGAGGTGGATACAATTGATGCAGCAATATGTGAAGAAATCCAAGACCACCACTTTCCCACAAAGGTCTTTGTAAAGAGAAAGGGAACCTTCAAAATTCAGCCATTGCAAATCTGAAATCAGAAGGTGGATTACTACATTATTTTCAAGAAGTACAAAAAAAAACTAAGATATTTCAGAATGTTTCATGAAGGTCAAATAACAAAATAAATATGCTTAACATTTTATAATCATCAACTGTAATTCTTCATAACACCAATCTAATGTAAGGCCAGAAATCTAAACTATTTCATATTAAAACTTACCAACTCCCAAAGACAGTTGAACATCACAACCTACTTTTCATTCTGCTCAAGAATCTTTTGTACAGATTTTGAAATACTATCTATGTACATTTAGTTCTATTACTATTCTTGTTGAAACTACAGAGGAAATCATAAACGTTCTGAACATGACATTGCCAGGATACAATGCTACTCTTAACCTACTAGATAATACATACTACTACTATTATTACATTGCCATTATATTCCACATTTTTTCCTCTTGCAAGGAACTCAAAGCAGCTTACGTTCCCCCCCACTCCATTTTTATTATCAAAACAACAATCCTGTGATGTAGGTTAGGTAGAAATTCCATGCTTGGCCCAAAATCATCCAGTAAGATCGATTGCTGAATGGATACTTGAACCTGTATTGCTGTATTTCCTGTACTGCTGACCACTGGCCATGCCGGATGCAGATGATGGGAGTTCAAGTCAAAAACATTTGGAAAATATTCAATTTTGTCTTTTACTTTGTAATGTATTTAGGCAGTTTTGGTTCTTGTTTAGAAAGGTCACAGAAAATAAAGTTAAGTTTAGGACAGACAGACAGACAGAATGAAACAACTATACGAAAAACAGAGTTATCCTGTTAACCACAAATATATAGCATTAAATATGTCTACAATCTATTCTCAAAAGAATTCCTTATACAGAATTATCTAACTATCCAGTCATACATAATGGTAAGGAAAAGACTGGATAACTGTATAATTTAGAATAAATACACTGATCTCTGATTTACAGACATAAAGTAAATCTTCAGAATACACACTGCTCTGTTGTATACTCACTGCTTTGTAAAAAAGCCACAACATTACTAATCTGCATTATTTTTTTACAGTGTGTTTCCATGCTGACTACTGAGAAAGGAAACCCTTTACTCCACAGAAATGCAAGTCACTAGAATCTTAGAAGATAAGTTGGAAAAACAACTTTTATGAAGAAGCTGAATAAAAGGACAGAGCTGAGAGACAGGTTCCCTTTTTCTGCAGCCAGCATTGATACCAAGTGGACTGATAAAGGGAAATGGAGCGATTTGTCCTTTCCTGCCAGCAGACTGTTGCCTAATAACCAACACACAGGCAAATAACCAACACATATGACTGTTATAACTATCTGAAAAATAATACTGTTATGCCCATGTTTTACTTGGCTCTCTTTCCTTGTGTAGACAGAGGATGGGAAAGGGTGGGTTGGAATTCAAAAAAAGCACATTTTCTACCTGCTTTCAGAAACTTCTTAGAAATCTTTTTAATCTACAAACTTTTGTCTTAGTAAATTCTAGAGACTACATAGTAGTTTCACACATAATGCTAAGCAATGACACGTGGTAACCATGCAGCATGTCCTGGGTCTAAGCAGGTGCTTGGTTTCCATTTATGCATGGTTTCCATGCATCTCTATCTAATGGCAGCCAGTATCCCACCAGTCCGCATGGCTCTGAATCAATCTCAGAGTACAGTGCTCCTGCCTCTTCCTTATTGGCTCAGACACTTCTCTGGGAATGGCCTCAGGTAGCTTCCCCCTTTCTTTTTTCCAGTTCAGTGAAGCAACTGCCTGCCCACTAGAGTAGCACTGCTGTGCTAGAGTAGACTAGTCCAAATCCTAACAAGATGTCAGCCAATATGGAAAACAAAACAATGGCCCACAGATTGAAAATGTTCAGTATCCAGTAAAGGAAAGGCAAAAGACTGCAGGAATCATAGGACATGAATCTCCCACACAAGCAAACTGATGATCAAAGTGTTGCAACAAAGAATAGTACTCCGTATGGAGTGAAAAAGGCTAGATTCTGAAAAGGAAGAAACATTATACTGCAAATATATGTTGGCTACTGCAGCACATGAAAGAATTTCAGAAAAATATCAGTCTACGCTTTATAGACTACAGCAATGCCTTTGTTTTGTGAATCATGAGAAGGCATGAATGGGTGTGCCTCAGCACTTATTTGTCCTGATGCATAACCTGTATCATGGACAAGAAGCTACAGTTAGGAAACAACACAGAGAAAAATAATGGTTTCTCATGGATAAAGGTGTCAGACAAGCATGTATTTTATCTCCCTATCTGTTCACACCATAATAAAAGCTGAATGATGATTTATTGACTTTGTTTGGAAGCCACCTGTTCAAATTACGCTCTCAAAGGACCAAAGGAAAGAGTGACAAATGACATAAGGAACATCACTAATTTAAGATATAAAGCAGTAATAAATTGAAATTACTCCTGATAAAATGAAAGAAGATAGTGTTAAAGCAGGGCTGCAGTTGAATATTAAAGACAACAAAAATCCTGTCCACAGAAGTATTACACAACTTTAATGAAGAAATTGAAATTGTGAAGTATTTCACAATCTCAGCTCAGTCATCAATTCAAAAGGAGACCATAGCCCAGAAAGTCGAAGAAGACTGAGACCTGGAAGGGCAGCAATGATGGAACTATTAAAGATCATCAAGTGCAAAGACATTTTACTGGAGACCAAGGTCAAGATCATCCATACTAATGTATTTACAATCAGAATCTATGGGTGTGAAAGCTGAACTCTGAAGAAAGCTGACAGGAAGAAAATTGATGTGTTCAAAAAATGGTTCTGCAGGAAAGCTTTGCAAATATCCTGGACCAGGAAAAAGAACAAGTGAGTCCTAGATCAAATCAAGCCAGAAATTTCCCTAGAATTTTGACATGTTAGTCAGTTGCAATAAAAGGTGTCGTAACTACTGGGTATGTTTTCCTAATTAATCTGTCTTCGCCTTTTATCTGCATAATGTGGATTTTCATAGGACTCAAATGACAGAAGCGAGCAATGCTATCCTGTCGGAGTTCTTCTGGAGAATGAAACCATGCCGACAAGCAGAAAATCAAATAACTAAATAACGATGGAGACACGGCGGATAAAGTAAGACTCATCAACTGAGGCTGAGGATGCAATCAAGGAGTCGGGATCGGGGAGTGTTTTGATAAGAAGCTACGCCCTCGTCCATGCTTCCTTCTGGCACTTTAGCCAAATTCACAGCTCAGCTCACCTGTTCCGAATTCGGGAACTCTCAGATCGCATTCCCGGGTATCCACCTTTCGCAGGTACTGATATACCAGATTTTCCTTCTCCTGGGGTGTCGTCGCATCCTCAAGCGCAATGTCCAGCTCGGATTGTGTGGATAAAAGGCCGACCAAGCCGCCAAGCGCCGCCATTTTCCCGCCTTCCCTAAAGGGAATTCTAGAAGGAATCCGCTTTGTTTACTACGCTGTAGTTTCAGTCTCAGCACATTCGACAGTCGATTCTGTATGGTGTAGTTAAAAATAAAAGACAAGGTACCGTTGCACGTGGAAAAATAATTTAGCAATGCTTCACTACAAACAAAGCTGAACAGATCTCAAGCTGAATAGTTATCTTCCTTGGTTTTTTTTTTTTTTGAAGTAGTTTTGAAGGCAGCTAGAATCACACATGTGGCAACAGATACCCAACTGTAATTTTGATTCAGCATATTCGGAAGAAATAAACATGACCGTTATAACTGGAAAAATAAACAAAAGAAGACTTTAAAAATGGGTTTATGATTTTACAAAATATTATCAAGCTTTTTTTAAAAAATACGGAAACAATAAGGAGCTGGGTAGTTGCGAAAGCAGAGAACGTGTTAGAAAGATAGAGGAGGCGGAGGCGGTAACAGCTGTCAAGGAGGGAATGGAAGAATGGAAGAATGGAAATCGGTGCTGGCCTCAAAGGTGTGAGTGAGATCTGGGATGGGGATGCTTCCTATGTGTGAGAAATGGGGGATAAAAATAGCTTGCACTCTTATTTGGTGTCTCAGAAGCGCTGATGGGGCTTCCTCTCTCTTGAGCAGACGGGCTATTCATTTAGAAGAGGCCCTAGTCCAGACTCTAAGCGCAGTACTTAGAAATATGAAAGCGGCCCGGATATACCGGGTATTCCTCTTGGACTTCACAAATCCAACTGCTGCTTTCTTAATCATTTTGATGTCAGGATATTTTTCGTGTATTCCTCATTTTCACTAATATGAAAATACGAGCAGGAGCCTTTGACCTTTGGATGCTGTTGGAATACAACTTCCATCACTCTTGATCAATGGCTGTGCTAACCAGGGCATTTTGGAGCTGATGGGACTCCAAAAGTTTGGAGGGCAGCCGGTTCCCTATCCCTGTAGTTCAATTGTATAGACTACTGAATCAGGATTAGCTATATCTTGCAAATCTGGCTTTTTCTTTAAGCCTACAGAAACTTCTTTGAACACTTGCTTGGAATGAACTTTCTGTTTCACCCCGATACAGTTTTCACTGACACTAACACCACAAACAGATTCTAGGACAGGGCCACAGAGGGTCTTGCTTAAAATTAAATGTTGCCTAGATTCTGTGTTCAGTGATATTTACATCCTAGTCCTAAGCATGTTTATTTCTGTGCAATAAATTTCTGTGCAAATTTCAAATGCAAGCAAGATATCAATGGCTGCCATTTATAAGAGTAAGAATTCAGTCGTCCTGATCATGCGGTGCTTATTCAACAGAGTGAGAGACAAATCTGTAGTCTTAACCAAACCTACTTGAATTAATTCAAATTGCTGATAAATGGTAAATTCTACACTTGTGTGTGAAAAATTACTTTGAAATTTGTTCTTTCTTTCTCAATAATGGCCAACAGCAAAGTATCACATTCAAATGTTAGTCTTTAAGCTGCCTAAACACATTAAGCTCTATAAGAGAGAGCCATACTTTTGGATATTTTATACTGCATTTAAGTGAGGGATTGTAGAATTAATCTTGCTATTTTGTATTAATCTGTATTTCAGGAGCATTGAAGAAAGCAAAAAAAGTCAGTGGAACAGTTCTGATATCTTCTAAGCAATCTTCCCATAAGCTGTGGCTTGTAAAGATGTACTTCATGGATGGATCAGTAGACAAAGAAAGAATATCTTTTCCATGTGCACTTTACTTTGTTTTTAAATGTAATTCATTTTACAACAACAAAAAATCCAGAGCTTTTTATAAAGCAGAAATTTCAGATTCTTAAAACCTACTTTTATGATTTTAATATGTGTATGGACCAATCTGATTTTTTAAAATGGTTTAATGATTTTAGTTGCCTTTGTCATACACATCAAGAAGGCAAAAGCTAGCATAATAAGAATACTATACATTTAATAGTATCACACTATTATAAACTTTGAAGTAGTTTTTCTTGGCAGGGGTTGGATTATCATGTCTGAAGATGAACTCTTAGAGAAGGACATCTGGGAGTACAAATCTATTAGGAAGCTAAAGTCACCAGGTTTGCATTCAGAAGCCATCTGTACAAATGTACAGAAAACAGATGACAAAAATGGTAAGCCACAAACAAGCAGAAATAGGAAAATATCAGAAGCAAAGGAAATCCCTAAGAAGACAAAAAAAGAGCCAAGACAGAGAGCTAGCTCAGTACCCTTAAAATCAGATCTACACTTCCGAGTTTCCAGTAATGAGCATCTTGCAGACTTAACTTCAAGCAAACAAAAGAAAAAACAGAAAGAACAAAGCACTACAAAGGCACGAGCAGTTTATGAAGGATACTGTCCAAGTTGCCAGATGCCATTCTCTTTGTTGTTGATTCAGACACCTCGGTGGCACGTTGCAGAATGTTTGGATGGTTCTAGAGCTGCCAAGAAAGGTACAGTTGGGTAGTAGGTGGGGAGAGGGTGCATTTCTGTTACTTATTCCCACGTCAGTAATATGGTTCCCTACAAAATTTCTGTGTTAGACAGCTATCAAAACACAAGACAGGCCCAATTAAAGACAGCAGCCCTACTTTCAAGTAAATAAAGTGGCCTTTAAACAGCTTCTAAAAATGTAGGTTAGACTGAAGATTGGAATGGCAGATGAAAGGATTGTATTATTTCATAAGGTAAATCTATATATCAAATTTTAGAGAACAAAATTATCAGTTACAGCCTCCTGGCTGGTAACAAAGAGGTAGTACTTAACTACCAACTGAAACAAAGTTCCAAATATTATGATTTATTTATACAATTCTGGCAGTAGCTTCAAAGCTACAGTGCCAGCCTGTATCTAGGGCAGACTGTTAATGGCATCTGCTACATTCATTTCTGGCTAAGGAAATAGTTGATCAAGCTGAATGGTGGCAGTTGGAAAGTTTTCAATTAAAACGTTAATTTAAAACTAGCTGACAAGTTGGGTTATAATAACCCAGTTCTGGAGTGAAATTCAATTCATTTCAAATGAAGTTTTACTAAGTAAGGGTGCATGTTTATGTATGTTTAGACAGAAACAGTCCTAAAGCAGCCAGGAATATCTTCTAAATGAACATGCATAGGATTGTATCCCAAGAAGCTTACGAACCCCAAACCTAACCCAGGCCTAAGAATTTTGCCTTAGCATTTGCACGTAACACTAAACCCTGGAGTAGGTTGTTGCATTCTGGACTGCCATGATGTGTGAACCTAGCCACTCTACTCAGACAACGGTTAATCATGAACAACCCAGAAAGGAACCCCATGGGGGTTGTTTGGCCAAGCAACAGAGGAGGCTACCAAGAGCTATAAAAAAGCACTCTACATACCAGTGTAAAATGCTATAAAGGTAGTTGGGATACAGGAAGGAAGCAGGTGATGGACAAGGGAAACAATCTAATTAAAAAAAGCAATAAGAAAGCAAATCATAGTTTATACAATTATCTGCCAGAAAAATCCTGGGTAGGACAACAAGCCATTAATTAAATAAACCATAGGTTAGCATCATATGCAGACCAAGTTAGTATAACTCAGAATAACTAGGTATTTCTTTTGTCTTTTGATTCATATTGAAAAGCACCATATGGAATCAAAGTCTTCCATATAGTATCCATATAATAGATTCCTACAAATCAGATACTGTCCAGAAACATTTTTTTAAAGTCTTTGGAAGCCATGGTACTCCATATGGAATTGTACTAAAATGTGGGTGTTTTTCCTTCAGTACTGATGGTTCCCTTCTCTTTTCTTTTCTTCTTTTCAGAGTGTCCTGATGGTCTGCTCTGTACTTCAACCATTCCTTCTCATTACAAACATTATAGCCATTTTCTTCTTGCAGCAAGCAGAGCAGGAAAATACTTTGCTGAATTCTCCTCATCAAGCACAGAGAACAACCTCTATAGGTCCGATGCTGCTCCATCCTTCAGCTGTAATAGCTTTGAATCTGAGAAGACAGAGGATCTGAACAACTCCCAGGATATGAAGAAACCTCTGGAACAGTTTCCAAAGCAGAGTTCAAAAGCTACATGTTCTATGATCATAACCAACATAGAGGCGTCCTCCTTGAAAAATATTAATGGATCTGAGCGTGGAATACAGTCTATAAATAGTACAAAACAGGTTGAGTGCTCTGTTCCTCTGTCTCAAGAGTATGAAAGTGGTGAGGACCTGGACAGTCAGCATGATTCACATCGATTAAATATGTTCGTTTCACAAGCTGAGTTAAGTGACTGTGACATTAGTTACTCTCCACTTAATACAGATGAAGAGGCTATACAAACAGAGGAGGAGGAGGAGGAGGTGGAAGAGAGTACAGCAATGGTGGCAGCAGCACAGATGAAAAGTTCTAGAAAACCATTATGTGATATTGAAAAACTGGAAGAAAGGAATGGTGGAAATGAATGTTTCATATTAAATAAACCACTTTGTGCTTCAGAATTGAGGGAGTTTGAGCATAACAATCTTAAAATCATACAAGCTTGCAAAGCAAACATGGAATCTCGTGACACATCAAAAGCCATCCAAAGTGCAGATGGAATTTCTTGGCCTCTCTCCCAAGGGAACATGCTCAGCAGAGTGTGCTGTTCAAAGAATCATCCTGATCAGATGAAACATCCCACAGAAATCTTCACTATCCCTGTTGAATGTAAAAGAACGAAGGAAGAGCTGGAACAGAGCTCTTCTACTTTTAGGACAGGTGAATGTGGGTGGGGCAACTGTAATGAGTATAATAGGATCTCTAAGAATAAAGTAGTGCCTTCAGAATCCAAAGAAGACAGTATTATGCCTCTCCTACTTAACAAAAGGGATACTGAAAAGGAACCCAATAGTAGGTTAGATAGAAAAGCTAGAACTGTTACTGGTACAGGTGGAAACAAATTGGCTTATAATAATTCATGCTCAATAATAAAAAAGGAAGGAAACATTTGTAATAGCATGGCTATGCCTGTTTTTCCTTGTGCAACCTCTGAAACATTGCAGTGTGTTCCTTCTGCAAACACTGGAATGCAAACAATTCCCACCAAGGAATTAAAACAAATGGATATTGGTGTTTTCTTTGGGTTGCAACCCAAAGCAAAGGTGGAGAGTAGCCCGAAGAAAAGTCCTTGTGCAGGACTACAGACTTCAACTCCATCCACTGCTGCCGGAAAAAAGCCCAGTTCTCGAAAGAGGAAAGCCGAAGGATCTGTGGGAGACTCAGATGCAATCACAGAAAGTTCAAGCAAGAATGCCAGACCTGCAGATCCCACATCTGGTGGACACAGAAGATGGAGAAAAAAATTTAAAGAGTCATGTCCTGCTGAGGAAGGAACAAGAAAAAAACAGTGTCCCTTCTATAAGAAGATACCAGGTAGCAGGCCTTATATATTTGATTATGGATGCGTCTCTTACCCCCATGTCACTAAATTTTCCCATGAAGTATAAAAAAAATCAGTTAATAATATATGAAATGTTGTTTTTAAAAATCTATGGCTTTCAACCCATATGAGTTAAATGCAAAATGAAAATGTTTAAGGACGTAAAATGTAGAAATGTGGATACTTTTTAAAAATGTGATACAAGTGCCCAGAATAGATCTAATATTGTGGGAAAGTGTGCAGCAAATATTAGTTTGTTTTCTGGAAGAATTGGACAAAAGGAAAGATGTTTAAAAATTAAAGGAGTTAAGAAAGAGCATGCTATTAAACTGCATTTCTGAACTTGAAATTTACTCAGACTACAGTCCTATGTCTACTTTCCATGGAGTAAGTCCTTGAGATTGCAATGGGATTACTTCTGAGTAGACATTCACAAGATTGTGTGGTAAGTGCTTCAACATGCTGCTCTTACCCGCCTGAAGTTCTGCATTGAAATTCTATACATGTATGTGCAAAAGTAATCCCATTGAGCTTCAGTCATTAGGATTTGCCCTCAATTAGTTTTCCAGTCTTCTCAACTCTTCAGGTTGTCAAATAACTGCAAAGTTATCACATATGAAAAAAACAAAACAAAACAGTTCATACGAAATGTAGTATAACTTACATTTTCAAGGTTACTTATCTGACATGGTTAAGTTGATGAATTTCATATAGATTTATATGAATTTGACTCTTGTACCCAAAACTGGAAACTATTCCCCCCTTCTTTGAATTCTCCCCAAGTCTCCTTAGCCCATGTTCTTTAATTTCACAGTCACTTGAACTTTTATTCTGTGTCTCTGATGCTTGCGGTCTCTGCTTTTGAGACCCATACACAGAATCTGGGGTTCTGTGTTAAAATCCCACTGAGTTAAATAATGTCAGTGGAATTTTTTTATTATGCATATCTAATTCACTTAAAAAACCTTCTTTTTCCATTTGAAATGATAGTATTTTGTGGGTGAGGTATAATTCAGGAAGTGTAAAGAAGAGAAACTAAAATAGGTAACACACTATCCATAGGAAAAGACATTAATGCAAATATTGATCTTGGCAGTCCTACAAAATGGGAGAATTGAAACAGATAGTGTTTGCTATTGCAGTTCACCATTGTGTTATGGCCTACTTTAAAAATATGGCTTTAGGGTATAATGATTAAATTTCTTTTATTTCTATTTAGACTTTTAAAAACCCTTGTTACCAGTACTAGGGTGCAATACTATGCATTTTTAGATAGGAAAAGCCATTTGGCTGCCTGGGGCATGCTGGAAATTATGTATGACTGAAATATACATAGGATTGTGCCCTTAGTTATGCACTGGAATTGATAAACCTATTAGCTAACTGACTGTTCTTGTATTGGTTTGTTATAGGAACTGGATTTGTAGTAGATGCATTCCAGTATGGAGAAATTGAAGGATGCATGGGCTATTTCCTCACACATTTCCATTCTGATCATTATGGTGGACTAACTAAAAAGTTTACGTTCCCAATATATTGCAATAAGGTATGTTTATTGTGGATTTCTGTGCAGTACACAATACTGATACCAAAATGGCGTGTCTAATTCTCAAGCTCAATTGGGCAAACATTTTTTTTTTATTTTGACATTTATCTATGCTGCGTCAGCACAAATGGTAGACAGGAGTTATCAGAATTTCTTATACCAATCTTCACTTGCTTGTGTTTTTTTTTCCAAAGGTGCCCATGCCATTGCTTTCTTCGCTACCACATCCCATCTCCAGTATTTTTTATTTTATTTTTATTTATTTAGAAAGCTTCTGTGCCACCCCATTCGCCGAAGCCTCGGGGTGGCTCACAACAATAAATAAATAATAATATAAAAACAATATAATTGGAGACTGTGGAATAGTGAAGTGTAACAGTGGGGAAAAGAGGAAAGTTTTTGAAAACAGCATATTGCAGAGAACACAATGTCTTTTATATTAGAGTAGCCAGCCCATAGGATCCCTATTGGAAATATTTTTGCTGTGTAATTTTTCCATCTGTGGCCTACACATAATGTACTAATCCACATAATCTAGGAATGTATAAAGAAAATGAAAAAATGGCTTGGAATAAAAAGGTAGCTGCATCAGGGGAAGAGAAAACAAACCATGTTTTTGATAGTATGGTGAATTGTGTAGAATCCATAGAGGGTTTTTTTTAATCACCAGATATTCTGGGATTGATCCCTTATTTCTCTTTTCATTAAAAGTATTCATAAGCTACAAGATTCACTTGAGTTACTGGGAATACAAACTGCATTCTTTAGTTCATGCCAAATGTCCTGCAGCAAGGTTGTACTGTCCCATGGCTTTCAATGGTGTAAGCTCTGCATTCCCTAAAGAGACTTCACCAGTTCCCAGTTGGTCATATAATGGAGAGAATAAAATGTAGGGCCCTTCTCATATACACTGCTTTGACCTGTCTCTTGTGGCTTTACGTGCAGGTTTTCAGTCAGCCTTTATCTACACCTGAGCTCAACTAGTGTGCATGGATGCTCTAAAAGTAGAATCTGTGGTGGCTAATATTTGTCATTTTTGTCCCACCATTGTATATAGATTCAAGTTTAAATTAGTACCTGTATCTTCATTACTTAATGACGATAAAGCAATCTCCAGACTATAATATGGCCAAACATTTGGAATGCCAAGAGCTTTGAACTGTAAAGTAGTATAAAGAAAAAAAAAATAAAAATTAAAAAAGAAAGCTCATTCCAAATCACTGCTTGCATCAGGCTGAGGTATCCAGCTCCCTTTCTGTCTCATTGGCCTAACCAAACTTCTACTTATAGTTTATATTGATACAGTTATTCAATCATGACACTCAAATTTATCTTCAAAGATACAGACAGATTTTCATGACCTACTCACCAGGTTGTTTTGAATCACAAACTGAAATGGAATTATATGAATTCATAAAGGAAGTTTATAATTTACTATGTATCTGGCACATCTGTTGTCAAAGGGAAATAAGCTTGTATTAGGTCTTGCAGAACATGTAGCAGAAAACATAATGGACAATAGTTTTCTGATTGCAGCTGAATATTGTTTTTTTTCTTTGCTTTTACATTAATATGTTTTGAATAGAACTCTTTTCATTAATAGCCAATAGGTAGCAGGATTGGAAAATTGTTAGCTCACAAGAAAAACAGTTTCCATGATATGTCATCCCTTAAAACATTAGATACTTTGCTTAGTTTCTCTCTCTCTCTCTGTGTTTTGCATAATTGGCAAATGAAAACTTAAGGAGCTGATAATACAAGTGCTAAACACAGTGTACTAGTGCTAAACACTTTCTGTTATTCAGATAACTGGAAACCTGGTGAAGAGAAAACTTAATGTGCAAGAGCAGTTCATCCATATCCTGCCAATGGATAGAGAATGCATAATAAATGGCATCAAAGTAGTGTTGCTTGATGCTAATCAGTAAGTATCTTTGACAGAGCCAATGTATAATACGATGTCATGAACCAGAAACCTGTTGCCAAAGTTCATTTTTGGAGCTTTGTGGATACAAGTTAAAACATCTTTTTATTCTTTCTTTTCTCCCCCATCCTTCCTTGGCAGTTGTCCTGGTGCAGCAATGATTCTTTTTATCCTTACAAATGGGACAGTTATATTACACACAGGAGACTTCAGGGCAGATCCTTCTATGGAGTGCAATCCTTTCCTGATTGGCCAGAAAGTTCATACTCTTTATTTAGATACAACGTAAGTTATATTTCCTTAATGAAACATGTATATCCTTGATTTGTAAAAACATAAACAAACATACTGTTAAACTATACAGTGCCTTATTTTTATCCCACAGCAGCATGCTGAGTGCTATCCTATAAAATAAGAGATGCTTGTGAAGCTGAGCTAAGGAATTCCCATTATTTCCGTACCATGTTTACTTACTCTGTTGTTCCCTTTCCTATAACAGAACAAATCACTCAAGTACCTGTTCCATATATAGTACTTTGCCTCTTGCATTACACCCCAAGAAATGCAGTGGCTGGAAAACTTGTAGCAGATGCCATTGTGTTCTTTCTCACTCCATAGGAATCCATCTTAGTTCAGTGGAGTAAAGGGCCATTGGATAAAGTACTGTATCCTTTAATCTGTTCTCTTTCCATCTCTTAGATACTGCAGTCCTGAGTATACTTTTCCTTCCCAGCAAGAAGTGATTCAGTTTGCTGTCAATACTGCCTTTGAGGCAGTGACATTAAACCCACGTACTTTAATTGTTTGTGGCACGTATTCTGTTGGAAAAGAAAAGGTCTTTCTAGGTATGTGAGTGACCCTTTCTCAAGTACAGAAACGGTGTTAAGAGGTTCCATGCTTGATGTATTTCAGGACAAACAGTCAGAATAATCTGTTCTGGAAAAAATAACTTTTTAAAGGATTGCAGCATTTTTGTAAAGTACTTAAATCTGAACACATGAGCCTTCTTGATGTAGAATAGAGAGATGTAACAACAGATGACATGAACTGATTGTTAATTGTTGTCCTGTTTTAGTAATACTACAGTTTTAAAATGCTGCAGCAGTAAAAATAACCTTGTAAATGTAATAACTTTTAACCTCAGCTTCTTGGTATGTGCATTAAGTTTCCAAATACAATGTAATTTTATTTCTATGCCCAGTTGGAAACAGTTGAAATGTACATGTCAACACTTACTGAGAACTATTCCCTGTAACTAAATGAATCTTTCAGCCACTTCCTGAAACCTTTCATAGCCTTTATTTAAATCATGGCACTTTTAAACTATAAAGTTCTATTAAATGAATATTTTAATCAGTTAGGCAGATATAGCTTTTAATATTTTAAGGAGGAATTAGTGCTATTGGATCACTCTTCAAAAAGGTTGTAATGAAAGAGTTGGTCTCCTCTTTAAAGCAACATATACAAACTGCCAGCTTCTAAATGAAATATTAAATTTCTTCATTGAATTGGAATATTTTATAATAGCTATATTTTCTCTTAGAGAAATCTTGACTGTAATTCTTAAGTTTCTAGACTGAAGAAATCAGACTTTGTTACTGTTTTCCAGAAATTTTATTGTTTATCTTTAAACAAGTGGGTGGACATGCAGCCAGTGAAAGAAGCTGATGGATCTGGTGGAATTTCTGCTAACTTAGTCTAACTTCCTATGAAACTTCATTATCTAGAACTTTTGGATTAGCTTGTGTCACTCAGTTTTTAGTCTGCCAGGAACAGAGCACAGAAAGGAATTTTACCCCCCCCCCCAAAAAAGTTCTTATAATATTGTCAATTAAAGGGTTGTTTTGTCTATCTCTTATTTTCTTTGCTCGGGTCTGTTTTTGTAATGTTATTATTTTTCCTATTAATTGTGTAGCTATTGCTGAAGTTCTGGGCTCAAAAGTAAGCATGTCCCAAGAGAAATATAAAACACTGCAGTGCCTGGAATCAGCAGCAATAAATTCCCTCATCACCCTTGACTGGAATAATACTTTGCTTCACCTCATGTCTATGATGCAAATTAATTTTAAGGTAAGTTTAAAAGCTTCCACTTGAGTTTAGCATACCAAATTAAGACCAGCTGGGGCTGAGACACTGCTGTCATTTTACTCCTATCATATTTGGTTAGCGCTTTTTTGGTAACTAACAACCCATCCAGGACAAGGAGTAATGGAAGTCTAATAGCTATTAGTGTAATTCACTGGATGTGTTTTCTTTAATGCAGCTTCATGGAATAAGCATTTCTTTCAAGAACATGTGGGTCTTTTTTTGAAGTATTTTTTGTAAACTCTATATTCTCTTTCCTGGTAACTACCAAGATGTTGTAATTTTCAGCCTTTCCTTCTGCCTTCCAATTATTTCAGAGTTTTAGAAAAACCAGGATAAAATTGGGAAAAGTAGAGCCTATTAGTACAACCTGCAAATGTATACAGAACATGCAGTCACCCTGCAGAAGTATGAGGAATTTCAGACTGTGGCAGTGGACTTTCAACCGATCTCTTGTGCCCATTTTCCAGCATGTGGTTATTGACTGTCACATTTGGAATGCTGATCACCACATACCCTTCCCCCCCCCCAACTGCTGAGCCTGCTCAGCACCATGGTTCATTATTGGGAATGTAATCAGATAATAAATGGCTGAGATTAATTATGAACAGGTAGCAAAGGATGAAAAGAAATGTTCTCCACAGGGAATAGTTTTAGGGACATCTGCTGATAGAATATTGGGATATGCTGTTTGCATCTTATGATAACACACTTGCCTTGTAGCTCTGTTGGCTGTAAATGGGATTTTGAAATTTGATATTATGCTGCTGTGGTAAACCACTGTGGTAAACCAAGCCTTCCATTTCTAATCCCAACTACAAACACACTGGTACTGTCTAGTTTTTCATTAGCATTGCTTGGTTCATTTATGTGGTTTGAAGTTCATATGTACCTCTCAGCATGCCAGGAATTATACAAGCAACAGTGGATACAGAAAGTGGGGCTGAAAAGCTATTTCTATAGCAAAACAGAAATAACTTTTCAGAACTGCCTAGTTTTGTTTCTTCTACATCTGCTTGCTTGACAGGAAGCTACCATGTCATAAATCCTAACCTACCTCATAGGGTTGTTGCTGAAAGGATAAAATGGAGAGGAGGAGAACCTTGTAAGCCTCTTTGAATTATTTGCTACTGAATATCAAGTCCCATGGCTAATAGTTATTTATGGATGTATCATCTAAGTCATTACCTGCAGACCTAAAAGGATGCATGATGAATTAAAATTACAGTCTGCTTCAAAACTGGATAAAATGCAGTTTCCAAAATTATTTAGCAATAACATTCCCACTGGCACCATTTGAGATACTATTCTTTTTTATATTTTGTTTTAATACCATCAAAGGGGAGGAAATGTGGTCAAACTTTGCTTTGTATCATAGAGTATTTATTGATTCAACATCGAAGTGTGCCTACATGTCTTCATACACAGCACCACATGACGACAACTCTCCTTTCGTTAACATGGATTCATCCTTCAGAAATAGTGATTTGGTCGCTGGAGTGGCTCATGTCACCATTTGCTTATCGGTAAATTGAACATAGCACAGTGCCTTAGCCTGAGTCAGAGCATCTAACTGACTTGGGATGGTCCTGTTGACTCATTTACGATGATGCTAAGTGGTAGTGGCTCTCTATGTTTTTAGACAGGACTTTTTCTGAGTCATTCCAAAGGATGCCATCTACTGAATCTGGGACATTTTTCATGCAAAGCATATGTCCTACCACTGAACTGTAGTCCTTCTCAATGTAATGAGAGATACACAGCATCCTAACTTTTACACAGTGAAATATCCTGGTCATATCCATTGTTTTTTTTCCAACAGTTTCTATATGAATAGTTTAACTTTCAAGATCACTTTAACTAGTGTTCTGTTAATCATCATTAGTTTTTGATTTGAAAACATAGCTTTTAGCATTGTTTGGCAAAATTAGTCATTGTGAAATATTGGGTTTTAGTTACTAATATCCATAAATACTTTATGAAATTATGACTGGCAGTCTGAGCCTAACAATGTTTTGTTGGGAACTAATTTCCGTAGAATTTACCTTTGAAGTAAATGCTGTTAGGACTTGCAGCAAAGTTCTATAGTGTCTATTCAGAAGTTAGTCCTAATAAATTCAATATACTCCCAGGTAAGTGAGTATACTACATCCACTTGAATAACAAAATGGGTTCAACCTTATGAGCAATTCTCTTATTCCAGTTATTCCATGTCTTAAATACAGAGCTAGTTATTGCACTGGGTCATATGGTAAACTTTAAACCACCACAGATGCACCAGTGTCATTGTTTAAAAGATAATTCAATGACTGCAATTTTAATTTCCATTTTCTCATTTGTATTGTGTATATATGTTTCAGACTTAATAGTTAAACTGGTCAATTTGTATCACTAACTGGACAATTCTAAGACTTCCCAATTCTGTGACTTATCAGTGGGGAGGGTGGACATAGGATTAATCAGTACCCCAGCTCTGGGGTCCTGTAACCTTGGAGCTGGGACTCTGAAGGCCAAGCCCAGACCCTGTCCCCTGCTCAGTCAGTGTGGAAAGAACCAGGCGGCTGCTACCCTGAGGACCCAACTGGGCTTTGGGGAAGATGAAGAAGGATGTGGCAGGGAGCAAGGAGTGGAGGAAGCTGCATCATTTCCTTTACACTGATTCTTACCTGCACTCCAGTTTCCTTATGTTGCCCTCCCTGGTACTGAATCCATAAAGCTTAAAACAGCTGCCTAGAGAAGATACATGGGATGAATTGCAGCAGTACTGAATACTGGTGCTGATACTGGTATTAGCATCCCCATGTATTGGATCCATATAAGTTTCTGAGTTCTAATGATCTTTCCCAGCTGTGCCCTAATGGACTTTGTCAGCTGCATATTTGTAGCATCTGTTGCTGGTTCACTTGTCAAGGACTAAATAGCTAATCTATCTGTGCTTCCTTTCCTGCCTTAATGCTAATTCTCCTGCTTCTGGTTTGATACAAAGTGGAGAATGGCCGTCTTTGTATGTACAATGAAATTCTATTTGTGCATCAAAATTACCAATAAGGAACAGATCTCACAAAGATAAACTTTTATTTAGTTTTGTGTTTCCTGACAAATGCAGACAAAATTTGTTTCACCATTTTTAAACTATCCAGTGCGTGAAAGTAGTATTAGCAGAAAGCGTCCATTGATATTCTGGCAATCCATAGCAAGATCCCAGAAAATTCTAATCAAACTGAGTAAAACTATATATTGTGCAAGTGGAAATCTCTTTTTTTTAACAAAATTTTATTAAAATTTTAAACTACTACTAAAAACATCAGTTCTCATAGACATTGGACTTACTGGGTCAGCCCCCTACTACATATCTTTTAACATTCTATAATCATATTCAAATCAATTTAAAATAACTTGAAGACATCTTCAGATCAAAACCAAGTCCCGTTTCTCCAGCCAATAAGAAAAAAAAAAAAAAGCAATTCCAAATTTGATAGAAGTCACTATCTTCCTTCTCCTTCATCCGTAAAATCAGTCCACCCAATTCTTGCAAAGTCCTGTTTCTCTTAACCAATATTAAAGGAAAGAATCTCCAAGTTGGATGAAAGTCAATATCTTCTTTCTTCTTCACTAATAAGTTCAATCTAAACATTTCTAGACAATTCAAAACCTTTTCATTTTTCTAATAGTAGACAAATAGATTCCTCACTACCACACTTACAGATAAAGTCGGAAACATTCATTTAACATCTTTAAAGACATCTTAGCTAATCTATTTGGTGGCAGCTAATACCTATAATATCCTTTAAACAGGCTTTCAGCTAAGTTGCTAATGTTTCATCTACCTTAAACATCGTCTAATCATATACAATTAACTCCTTACGAAAGCTAAACTCTTTACCATCTTTAAGGTATCTCACTTATATCCACCCCTTTTATCACCAGCAATAGTAGCTTAGCGTTTCTATATCACATATGAACATGCCCAACCTATTTGAATCATCCGTTTTTAAAATAAAAAGAAAAAATTCTCTTATTTTTTCTTTACACCTCTGTCCAACCTTTCTTCTTCCTTTGTTTTAAATCATTGTAGTGCCTGTAGTAAATCATTATACATCTTCAATTGTAGTGCCTGCAGTCCAATAGACTGCAGTTCCTTCGTGCAAGTGGAAATCTCATTGGGCACATTAAGGGAGTCTCAGAAATTGCTTAAAGTTGGTTTATTAATTGAATTGAATTGAATTGAATTAGAATATTGGTTACATTAAGTAGTATGTGGCACTACATGTAGAGAGTAGGGATGTTGTATAAAATAACAAGAGCTTCCCATTTATCTCTGAAAGGTTTGATCATGCATTAGCAAGAACTACAAAGCTCTTTCACATTATTTAGTCCACATTGATTTTATTGGAAAATAGCATTTTTGCAAAGATGTGTTTTACATTTTGAATAATGAGCTGTGGTTTTCCATCAACAGAGTTTGCAGAGCCACTTGAACAAATTCTGTGGAAGTTTTGATCACATTTTGGCTTTTAAACCCACTGGGTGGACTTACTCGAATGGTTGCTGTTCTTTGGGTGATATCCAACCTCAGACCAGAGGAAGAATCACTATATATGGTATCATAATTTCATATGATTTAATACATTTATTTGTCTTCGGTCAACCTTTCACATAATAAGTCGGATCCAGGGTAGCATCAAGTAGAGTTTTTCATATACTGGAGGGAGGGTGGTAGATTATGATTCCTCCTTTTTCCATTCTACCTCTGCCTCTTGAAAACCAGCTTGGGATTACTGAAGGACCCTTTGAGGCCACATGAGAGGTGACATGAGAGTATAGAGGGAAGCTTTAATTGGGTCCCAATGACTTTTATGTATGCAAGGAACTCTTTGTTTCATGGAACAGCCAATCTGCATCCAACCCATTACTTTCTCCTTATGTAAACAAAGTCAAATAGTTTATTCACAAATAAATTACATTTCATACTTTAACAGATTAATGCTTGCAAAATGATTTGTTCTTTTTAAACATCATCATCACTGTTTGGAAATTACAGCTAAGCCATTTGTGGCTGGATCAAGAATTCCTAGGGAGTAGCTCAGAGGTTCCCATTCTTGCTGTGCATTTCCTGGGAACCTGCCTGCAGAAAGATTTCTTCATCTCAGCTACTTACATTGGGTACAGGATTAGTAAGAACCTTTGAGCCCTTCCCAAGTTAATTGTGTTAGAGAAAGGCCTTCTTGGATTTGGCTCCTTATCAGAGAGTTTAATTTCATCAAAGAAGGGCTGATAACTAATTGCAAAGATAAATGTTGGATAATTCTTTCCAGATTGTAGCTTGATGCGCAGCTTGAAGGTCAACTCACTGTTTACTTAGAATGTTTGCTTCAAGCCGTCTTTCCCTTGTGCTAAAAAAGTCTTCTGTGGTGTCTTGTTTGCAGGCATCCCTTACAGTGAGCACAGCAGCTTTCTTGAAATGAAGCGATTTGTCCAGTGGTTGAAGCCTAAGAAGATCATCCCCACCGTCAATGTGGGTGACTGGAAAGCCAGAAAAGAAATGGAAATGCATTTCAGGGACTGGAAGTTGGAAACTACAGAATGGAACTAGAAAGATAAATGGAAGTTACACTACAGTAGGTGTATGATCCAAATTCCATTTCAAGTTTGCTGTCTTGTTCTTTGTGACCCATGCAGAAGGAGTGGTACAACACAGGAGTTCTATATTTGTTAATCATGAAGATATTTTTAGTTTAGTTGTAATAGCAGAAGTTTCCTTTAAGGGGTAAAGCCTAGAAAAGCACTTTAAAATGTGCCAAAGCATCTGAATTTGCGGATATTCTACTGATAAGCAAGTTTCTTGAATAACAAATTCCTTTGGATAGGTAAGAAAGTGATGCCTCCTGAAATCTCTGCTATATCAAAGTGTCTGTTTGCAGTCTGGTGGTCAAACAAGGGTGTCAGTGGGGGATTTCATGCTACGTATTTTGTTTCCCCAGAAAATCGGCTCAAGGTGTCCAAATGTAAGGTGTTGTCTTCTAAGACTGGGTCTTACATTCCATCAATCAAAGGCCTGGGAAGTATTTATTTGTTTGCACTGAAAATTCCAGAAATCTTGAAGACCAGCTGTTCTCTAATGAACAATGTCATTATGATGAATTATATGGGACTAACATTCCCATCTGCAAGACATTCCAGAATACATGGCATGGATCTGAATTCTGCCCTGCGTCTGAAGAGGATCTGAATTCTACCTCTGAAGAATGATCAGTATCTTTCCTAGCAGCCAATTTCAGCAGCTAACTTCTTTAACTCATTTACTAACTTTACATTGTAACTATAGGACAGAACAGGTCATTACTGCACTGCACACAGTGGTACTGAGTAGAACTATACATTTAGAATGATATAGATGAATGATTCTCTTTTATGTTCTACAGCTTTATAAAGAAATATATTTTTAATGAACCTTCTTACTGCATTGGTATGGCAATGCTGTGTGAAACAATTGAAAATTAATAAAGATGAGTTGAAGGTTTCCAAGGTGTTGCGGCAGCTTGTTTTTGTTGTAGTGATGTCGTAGTTTTGTTGGAACTGATCATAACAGTTGTGATGTACTAGAATGGGTTTTGCTAAATCAGATAAAGGGTCCATTTACGTGTTATGGCTACTAATGCTTTCTAATCCCCTTTGAAGCCAATGGCCATCTGCTGCATTTAAACTTTCGCTGCATCATATTTTATAAAAAGCCATAGTCACACCGGCTGTTCTTTCTATTCATTGCAATTCTGTAATGCCTAGTAGCCAAAGCTTTTGGGCAATTCACAAAACTTAACTTAAAACCATAAAATACACATTTTCAGTTCCTTTTCCATTTCAATCCCAACACGGAATTTCATGTTTCACTACCACAACACATTGCATAGAGACAACCACCATGCGCCAGACACATTTCTCTTGGATTATCAGCCAATTCTTGCATGTAACATAACATAAAATTTTATTACTGAGTTTCTCAATGTAGAGTTATCCTCTGCTTCTCAGTCTATCTGGGTTTTCACTACTTTACTACTCACCTGTGACTCTCAACCACTTATTAATTAACAAAAAGTGCCTGTTCCTCTAGCACAGATTCTTGGGGGCAGTCCAAGAGGAGACCTGTCTATTTTCCTGTCTCCTTGCAGTTGCTTAAGCAGTAACTCATTCTTAAGGGGAGGCCTGTAGTGTTGCCTGCATACTAACTTCATTCACCCAAATTTAACTTTGTCAAACACTTTTGGAAATAAAGTATGATATATTCATTGAACTTCTATGCGCCTAACAATTCCAGTTTTAATTACATTTTCAGCCAATCTTAAGTGGTGCAGATAATAGGCTTGTGATTTCCTAGCTGCTTACTGATCCATTTTTTAAGAAGTTCTCGGTTAACAATGTTCCATTCCACTGGTAAGGTGATGATAAGACTGGTTTTTCAGAAGTGTGATATTGAAATTTGTAAGATTGCTCAAATCTAACCTACCCAGGTGACTAATATAATTTATAAATATGTCAGTTAGTCATAAAACTTTAAAAAATGCAACTGCTGAGTATTCCAGTTTGTGTTATATTAGAGTATGCTGGAATGGCTATAAAATTAGGCAGTCAGGTTCCTTAATAATGGATACATTTAATTGGACTAACAGGTGTTCAGGTTGCAAGCTTGAACAGGAGGGAGACAACCAATTGACACTATCCCAGACCACTTATACTTTACTTGGTGTTGCAAAAGGATGAGAAGGTCTGAGAAAGCAGTGTTACCTTCTGTCTGAGTGTGAAATGTCGTGAGCTGCACAGAATCAATGAATCTACCCCAAGATGAGCTGTCCAGACACAGAAGAATCTTGGCAAATAATGTGATTGGCAGGAATCAGTGTCACCATTTGTCACTTTTTAGCCAGTTAATTTTACCCTCATTAGTGTGAGATGCCAACAGACTTTATCTCTTATTTATTTATGAAGTGTATTACCAGCCTTTTATTATAAACTAATCCTGAAGCAAGGCAGAGCTGATGAAATAGAATAAAGTCATAATACTTTGATCAAAAGACTGGGTTCAGACAATATAATAACCCACATGTAAAGGTTGATTGTGGGTTGTGCTTGAACCATGGTTTGTTTTTGAACATGAGTCATGTCTGAACCCACCTTTTCTAACACAGAAACAACCCATAGTTTGTTTGTTTATTTTATTTATTTAAAGCTTTTCTAGACCATCCCTTACTGAAGTCTCAGGACAGTTTAACAATACAACAATGTAAAATAAAACATAGAGTTCTGAACTCAACAAACCATGGTTCTCTCCATGGGTGGTTTGTGGTAAATTTGTTAGTGCAGCTGTGTTCAGACAATGATATTACCTATGGAGAACTACAACCCGCGCTTAGCATATACGCAGTTTTTGAATATTGTTTGTCTGAACCAGTCACTGTAACACATAAGAACAGAATAACTGAGAATTAACAATTAACATGTGGCAGAACAAATTCTATAAAATCTGAGGGTAAACAAATAGATTTTTAGTTGGTGTAAAAATGTGTAAGATTGTGTAATGAACACCTTTGGGAGTTGCTGTACATCAAATCCAGGCAAATGTGCAACATCAAGAAGACATTTCCACTCAAACTTATTATCTATGCAGGTATATAATACAGAAGGAATTCCATCAAGTGTCAAGATCCTAAATCATGCAAATACTTATATGCACATCATTATATGCATTTTGTACCTCACTCTGCAGTTTATTGGTAGCCAATGTAACTCTTTCAGAATTGGTGTAATATATTTGTCACATAAATGCAATGGCCCAATCTGTTAATGGGTTATTAGTGTATGAATCTAATTTCCGAAGGGAGGAAATAATTTCTAATCAGGTTTCCACTGCAGGTCAAATTTTGGCCTGATCAGACTGTTCCAAGAGCTTTTGCACATCACCTTAATGCCTCTTCTTATCCCAATCCTAGCATCCTTGCCATCCTTTCTCATATGCAACTATTCATGCCATGACCCACCTTCATGATTAACAGCTAAGTTTTCACTAACACCTAAGTTTTCACTGAACTTGGACACATTGTGGTGGAAAAAAATGTTCTTAAGATCCTAAACTTAGGACAATAAAATTTATCTTCATTTAGTTGTCAGTTGGAAGCCAACATGATTAATGATGGAAACTGTTGCTAAGATTACTGAACTGAAGAGGCAAACAGCTATGGAAAACCACTTCTATTATTAATAAGACGATTCTATTATTTTCCATTTTTTGTTCTAACCCGATGAACAGCTGGGGAAGAAAAATTCTGACATACCACTAGCACAAATAGATTTACAGAATGTATGTTAGCTCTCCATATTTTATGTGTGTTCTGTACACGCACAATTATACACAGAGAGGGAGAGAAAGAGCAACTCAAATATGTGAAAATTACCAAAGGATGTTAAAGACATGCACGCATATTTCCCAGTCCAAAACCACCAGTTCCAGCTCAAAACCCCATTCGTAAAGAGATGTGGAATTTTGAACATTGAATTTTGAACCCTTTTTCCATTGAAAAAAGAGGAGGGAGTGCACTTCTGCACTTTCCTATGTGCCCAGAGTCTCAGGACAAAGTCCAGATGTGGTCCCGGTGACTTAACTGGAAGGAGAACTCCCAGAACATCCACTTGTGAACAAAAGATCCTTCATATTGCGTGATCCACCAAGAGGTGCCAAAAAGAAGCAATGGGTCGATGGTGTTGACAGCAGTCACCTACCTGGATGCTGTTGGAGCTGAGGCTTCAGATTGCCCCCGTCGTGCAGCTGTGATTGTTCACAGTTGCACAACTGTGGCTAGAAGAAAAGCTTTTAAAAATAGAAATTAATATATTTGCATAAATGTTTGCGTTTTCTGGACTACTGGGTAGTCACAGGCAGGCCCTCTAACGGGCAGCTGGTGCACTTTAAAGGATTGTGGGCTTTGCAAGCTTCTGAACCCCTGCTAAAAGACTGAGAGGAAAAGCTGTGGTGATCCCAACATGCTCACTGCTGTGGTTGGGTGCTGGAGAAGCTAAGGCCAGCTGCTCCCCAGTTGGCTTCACCTGCTCCCAAAGGCCACTTAGGCACTTTTAAGGTGGTGACCACTGGCACTCACCCAGGAGCCCCTTGGCAAGAGGAGGAAGGGCATTCTCCCATGCCCGATGTGGGATTTGCAGTTTGTTCAAACATAAAATAACATGAAATGAATCACATATTTGAAATGTAATTTTTGCACCCAAGTTTATGGGATTTTTTAAGGCAGCCATGGACACCCCTCCTAAGGCTGCTGGGACACTTTGTGGAGACTGCTTGTAGCTGCCAAAAGGGTGACCATGAAGGCCACTTTCAGGATCAGAATTTTTTAAAGGTAAAGGAGTCACAGCAAACTGAAAATGGCTTGTGCTTGTGATGGGGAAGAGGGACACCTTGGTACCTTCAGGGTGTCTCCTGCAATACCCATGGGAGGGCAGGAAGTGGATGGGGGGGGGCAGTCCTCTTCTCTTGTTGTGCCTGATGGCCTGTAAAGTGTATTAGAGCAAGGGTGGCTTATCAGGTTGGGATAGTCTGGTATGATTTATCAATAACAGCATTGATAGATTATTTATAATTTTCTATGTATCTAACACAATGTTTATACATGGGGGTTAGCAAGGGATTGCTATTCTTGTAGACAAATATTCAGCTGGAGTTGAGAGTTTGGTATAAACAACATCAATATCAAAATTCATAATGAAGTCCCATAGCTTGCTTTCTTTACCCAACAGCATATACACAGTATGTTCATAACATGACGTTATACATTCAAGACATAGCAGAATTTTCTGGATTTGTTTTTTTTTTTCACTTGTCTCTGATGAAAATGTGTATTTTATGGTTTTAAGTTAAGTTTTGTGAATTGCCCAAAAGCTTTTACTACTAGGCATTACAGAAATGCAATGAATAGAAAGAACGGCTGGTCTGACACTTGAAATCCATTAGGCATAACAGGGAAATAGAACTGCTGTTAAAATACAATAAATCAAATATTATTTCCTTCAGCACCATATGAGGCCAGACTCTTTATTTTTCTGGTCTGAATTTGGTGTTTTTTCTTTTTTTTCTTTTGAAAAGCTTTATATGCCATGCTAGTTTTCTACAGTCAAAGATTCTTCTCAAAGACTCCTCCACCTCTCTCCCGCTATCTCTCTCTCATGCACACAGACCAATCTGAATATATGGATTGTGGCTGATTGCTGCCCCTAGTTACAAGATCGCTGTCTATGACCATGAAAAAAAACCCACAACAAAAACCAAAAACCCCTAACTACACTACCAAGAGCTTTGTGATACCTTAAAGATAAATACATTTCTTATGGCTCAGGCAGTTGTGAATACTGTCTAACCTCAAGTCCATACATCTGGTGGACAGTGTCCACAAAAGTTTGTTGTTAAAAATAAGTTAGTTGTTAAGGTGGAAGAAAGCCATTTGCTGCTCTTGCGCAAGACCAACACAGCT